TGTTCTTTCATGGAAACCCTGCTAAAGTACAAAACCATTTAGGTGTTCGGAAATAGGTGGAAGATTTCAGACGAGGTAATGGAAGTCACGCTTTTTACCGAGGATTTGTTTTCTTTTGGAATGTAGCTGAATTCTATTGTTGAAGACATCACCTACTGGTATGAAGGAGAATTTGAGTTTTCATTCACTCATCCCTCGAAATATCAGCAATGCAATCTTAACTGTTCGAAATTAGGGTACGTCAGGACATGTGTGGTGTCTACAGGCAATGAGTAATAAAGATCTATAAAGAAATACAGGTATGCAATTTAAAAAGGATGCGTTGGGTTAATACGCTCCGTATTGTTATACTATTAGGGTTTTTAATTTCTCATGCGTATTTGTACGCAAGAAACTGAAATTTAATTAGGTAATGGTGATTTATTTTGTGTAATTTATGTATATACAAGCTCATTTGGAGCTCTGCAACCAGGTTATTTTTTTGTGATAACCAGACACTGAAAGAGATTTCAAATTTTTCATCAGCGACTCAAACCAATTAGCTTGATGTGATCCTGACCAACTACAGCAGCAATATGTATGAAATAAACATGAGAAGTGATATACAAGAACATATCACTTCTTTGATTGGTCTCAGAGCGTCTTTTTCATTTCTTCTGTCTCTTTCATCCATGGTTTCAAAAAGATTCTGGTCATTCTTCACACACAATTTCATTTACTGGGATTAGCTACGGCCCTTGATTTGTTCCTTGTTACTTGATCTCGTGGGCAATGCCTGTGAGCCATTTTCAACCATTGGGCAACAGAACCCTGGCTTTGAATTGTGTTTGCTTTGGTACATATCTAATCAAATTACGTTTCGTTTTAACCGAAATAGCAGAATTAGTTTCCTGGGATAAAGGTATAACTGACCTAGTTTTGTCAGTGTCTGTTTTTGAAAGGCTGTCCTCTTTGGTACAGATATCCCTGCTGTGGTTATTTGAAGTTGCTTTGAGCTTTGAATACAAAGGCGGTCATCAAGTTTTACCAAGCAGCTTCCGGACCTGAAATATGTAACAGTGGCATTTCATACTGTGGTTAATTTATGTTGCTTTGAATTTTTAAGCAAGTGATCTTCAAGTGTTTTCAAATTGCTTCAAGAACTGAAATGTCAGTTAACAGTGGAATTCCCATGCTTAGTGATACAATGGTAGTAAACACTAAGAGATATGTATTGGTTGAGTGAGTTTTACAATATGTTACAGTATTTCAGTTCCATTGTAAGATTTTGTCTTAATATGGTATAACAGATAACAACTGATCTTCATCAACCCATGCTTTCCGTAAAAGGTGACTATGCTTGTTGTAAAAGGTGACTAACGGGATCGGGTGGTCAGACACGCTGACTTGGTTGATGCATGTCATCGTATCCCGGTTGCATAGATTGATGCTCTTGATGTCTGGTCTTGATTGATGGATTGTCTGGTCAAGACTCGGATGTTTACAGACCCCCGTCATATAGCTGGAATATTGCTCAGTGCGGCGTTAAACAACAAACAAACAATCAAATACAAGAGGAAAGCTCATGGTTGCACAGGTCGTAGATGTTAGCACTTTTGTGAAAAGCCAAATGTTTGAGTGTGCTACAGTCACTGCTTATGGTACCCGTGCCGCCTTTTGATATTATACTTAGCTGTTAGTATTTGGAATCATAGGTCTATTACAATCACAGGTTTTGTATTTTTGTAAATCATTCTAATCTGTATGATTGTGTTCATCAATTTAAAGGGGCGATCGGGTAGCCTAGTTGTTAAAGCGTTCGCTCGTCACGCCGAAGACCTGGGTTCGATTCTTGACATGGGTACAATGTGTGAAGCCCATTTCTGGTGTCCCCCGCCGTGATATTGCTGGAATATTGCTAAAAGCGGCGTAAAACCATACTCACTCACTCATCAATTTAAAGCCACATAAAACATGTTTATTGTTTCTTTTTATATAAGAAACAAAACTCTTTCCATGATCATAATTAATTTCTATTATAAGCAGCATCAGTTGTATGATTCCGACTACCAGTATGTTGTGAGCATGCATTTATGAATCACTAGCAAAGAATGATGATACCCCAGGCTTGTGAATAGGTGAGCGTATCATACCACACTTGGGGGCGGTCGGGTAGCCTAGTGGTTAAAGCGTTCGCTCGTCGCGCCGAAGACCCGGGTTCGATTCCAAACATGGGTACAATGTGTGAAGCCCATTTCTGATGCCCCCGCCGTGATATTGCTGGAATATTGCTAAAAGCGGCGTAAAACCATACTCACTCACTCACTCATACCCCACTTGTGGCACATATCACGAACACATGCAAAGGCAAGTCAATTGGTAATCTGACAAAAACACGGGGAACGCAATTTGCAAGTCAAAATAGGAAATTGCACTGGACATAATTTCGGTCATTTTTGCTTCAAATTTGGAACTGTCCCCCAGATGTCTGTCCTAAAACATTTTGAAAGCTTTCCTGAGGCTGCAAATAACATTCCACCCTCCCATAAAGATATTTCATTTATTGGCATGCTAAATTCAGATCCAGTTCCACAATGAGTATTATCAGCTTTTTGATTACATTCAGCTGTGAGTTATGGATAGTGATCACCTACAGATAAATATAGCACAAATCCTGTGGGCATTGTCTTGGGAGATACACATTGGCTTAAATCAGTATTCTTTGACAATGTTTGAGATGCTTTTGGTTCACCATGACACTCATATTGTGTGAACACTGTGAGATATGGTTGCCATGCATGTGTTGGGGGTTCGTGGGGATTTTATCACTGGTCAATCATAAATCTTAATCAGTTCTCTTTTTTTGTGTAGTTTCCAGTATTGTTTTAGATTTGATTTGAAATGTTGAAAAATCTTATTCCATAAATGAAAATGCTTGATTGGCAGCATATTGTTAATGAATGTGTTTATTTGTAATTATTTATGTAATGGAGAAATCTCTTGAATCTGTTGATTCCGGAAGAAGAATCAATGAACCACAAAAGAACTACTACCAGAATCAACAGATTCAATCGATTCAATTAATTTCTCTATGATTGTGAAGATCTGGGGTAGAACAAGTCTAAGGTGGCTGTGCTTGTCATAAGAGGCGACAAACGGGATCTGGTTGTCAGACTCACTGACTTGGTTGATGCATGTCATCGTATCCCAATTGCGTGGATCGATGCTCATAATGTCAATCACTGGATTGTCTGGTCCAGACTCAAGTATTTGCAGACTGCTGTCATATAGCTGGAATTGCAGAGTGTGTTGTTAAACTGCAAACAAAACAAACTCTTTAATTTTACATAATGACCTATATATTTCCATCAGTTTTACCTGTTTAGAATGCACGTTAAGAATTGCCATTGAATTCCTGGCTCCGTAACAACTGTAACAATAGCGTGACATCATCACAATGGTTTAAATGTCAAAGTAATTATGACGCATTCTCAAGAAAATAAATAGCATATTTCTCGGGGGAAAAGAGTAAAATCTGTGATGTAGCAAAGAATTAACTGAAAGAGTTGAACGTGAAAAGTTGTTTGAAGTTAATATTTTTGTCATATCTATGGCAACAAGACCAACAACCAAGCAAGCAGCACGTAAACACCATTTTAAGAATCCTGATAAATATTTTCTTGTACACTTAGCTTGAATTGTACATTTTACCCCTTTGTAGTGCTTTTGTAGCTCAATTTGAAAGATATCTGCGCAATGGTTTTATTATCATATCTGCACACACATTACTAGTACCTTACTGATGTCATACTCTTAGTAATCAATCATTTGTAGTGATGACGACTGCCTCTGTGGTCTACTGGGCCCCGTTCCACAAAGCCATCTTAGTGCTAGCGTGATCATAACTCCCATACTTTAACACTGGCTTACGATAGTCATAGTGCTAAGATCTCTTTGTGGAACAGGGCCCTGGATAGAGCTTTTGCTCCGAGAGCGGAAGGTCGGTTGAAAAAGTATACAAAAAGTGATGGATAATAGCTTCTTTATTATACAGGGGGCATGGGTGGCCCAGTCGTCTAGGGCACCGTGATTTGCTGTGCAGAGTTGCGTCCCTTGGGCATGCCAGAAACCTTGGATTGTGGGTTCGAATCCCGGTTCGCCCTGATTATGTTTCTAGGTTTGTCAGCACCATACCTGTGCTTGTGGGTTTCACCGAAGTGGTAAATGTCCGAGACCTGCATCACTTTGGGCTTTCCTCCCACATTAAGCTGACACGCTGTGATATAACTGGAATAATGTTAAAAGCAGCGTTAAACCCAACTCACTCACTCTTTATTGTACTGTTATAATGACATTTCGGTATGGATCTTCATACTCATGTTAATCTCTCTCATGTATGATAATTATTGATACTGTACCATGTTCAGAAGTCATTATTGTTTGACAATGATATAAGGATCCATACCGTAATGTCGCTATTACAGAAAAATAAAGAAGTTGTTATCCATAAACTTCTATCTACTTGCCATCTGTCAACTTCTAAGAAATGCCTATCAAATAAGAAAGGTCAGTTGTTTGATTCCCCTGCTGCGTCATACCAGAAGTAAAAGGATGGTACTTGTTGTTTCCCAGCCTGGTGCTCAGTATTAAGGGGATCAAACAAGGACTGGCCAGCCCTGAGCCAGTATTCTGTGTCTGAGAGGGGTATGCAGCATGGTATCTCAGAATTGAGCACTAGTAAACACAGACACACAGACACACACACACACAGATACACACACACACACGCACGCACGCAGGCACGCACGCACGCACGCATGCACATACACACGATTCTGTAACCAGGTTTAGACTGACTCCTGATGCTAACATTACATCGGCCATCAGGAATTCTGTCTGTTCGTGGCAATTGTCTACAGAGCACTGAATATGTTCTACATAATTTGTTGTGCAAGTAATTGGAAACAGGTTTTTCATGTCATGTGGACAATCACTTACTATGATTCATACTTCTGTTTCAGGCAGAAGAAGTCAAATGTGAAGATGCAGAAACAGTGTTTTCTTTTGAAGTAATACCATCGCTTGCGACCCGAAAACAAGTGTCCTGCTGAAGTAATACCATCGCTCGCAACCTGAAAACAAGTGCCCTGCTGAAGTAATACCATCACTCGCAACCTGAAAACAAGTGTCCCGCTGAAGTAATACCATCACTCACAACCTGAAAACAAGTGTCCTGCTGAAGTAATACCATCACTCACAACCTGAAAACAAGTGTCCTGCTGAAGTAATACCATCACTCACAACCTGAAAACAAGTGTCCTGCTGAAGTAATACCATCACTCGCAACCTGAAAACAAGTGTCCTGCTGAAGTAATACCATCACTCACAACCTGAAAACAAGTGTCCTGCTGAAGTAATACCATCACTCACAACCTGAGAACAAGTGTCCTGCTGAAGTAATACCATCACTCGCAACCTGAAAACAAGTGTCCTGCTGAAGTATTACCATCACACACAACCTGAAAACAAGTGTCCTGCTGAAGTAATACCATCACTCGCAACCTGAAAACAAGTGTCCTGCTGAAGTAATAATACCATCACTCACAACCTGAAAACAAGTGTCCTGCTGAAGTAATACCACCACACACAGCCTGAAAACAAGTGTCCTGCTGAAGTAGTACCATCACTCGCAACCTGAAAACAAGTGTCCTGCTGAAGTAATACCATCACTCGCAGCCTGAAAACAAGTGTCCTGCTGAAGTAATAACATCACTCACAACCTGAAAACAAGTGTCCTGCTGAAGTAATACCATCACTCACAACCTGAAAACAAGTGTCCTGCTGAAGTAATACCATCACACACAGCCTGAAAACAAGTGTCCTGCTGAAGTAATAACATCACTCACAACCTGAAAACAAGTGTCCTGCTGAAGTAATACCATCACTCACAACCTGAAAACAAGTGTCCTGCTGAAGTTATACCATCACACACAACCTGAAAACAAGTGTCCTGCTGAAGTAATACCATCACACACAACCTGAAAACAAGTGTCCTGCTGAAGTAATACCATCACTCGCAACCTGAAAACAAGTGTCCTGCTGAAGTAATACCATCACTCGCAACCTGAAAACAAGTGTCCTGCTGAAGTAATACCATCACTCACAACCTGAAAACAAGTGTCCTGCTGAAGTATTACCATCACTCACCACCTGAAAACAAGTGCCCTGCTGAAGTAATACCATCACACACAACCTGAAAACAAGTGTCCTGCTGAAGTAATATCATTGCCCGCAACCTGAAAACAAGTGTCCTGCTGAAGTAATATCATTGCCCGCAACCTGAAAACAAGTGTCCTGCTGAAGTAATACCATCACTCACAACCTGAAAACAAGTGTCCTGCTGAAGTAATACAATCACTCACAACCTGAAAACAAGTGCCCTGCTGAATTTATACCATCACTCACCACCTGAAAAAGTGTCCTGCTGAAGTAATGCCATCACTCACAACCTGAAAACAAGTGTCCTGCTGAAGTAATACCATCACTCACAACCTGAAAACAAGTGTCCTGCTGAAGTAATACCATCACTCGCAACCTGAAAACAAGTGTCCTGCTGAAGTAATACCATCACTCGCAACCTGAAAACAAGTGTCCTGCTGAAGTAATACCATCACTCGCAACCTGAAAACAAGTGTCCTGCTGAAGTAATACCATCACTCACAACCTGAGAACAAGTGTCCTGCTGAAGTAATACCATCACTCGCAACCTGAAAACAAGTGTCCTGCTGAAGTAATACCATCACTCGCAGCCTGAAAACAAGTGTCCTGCTGAAGTAATACCATCACTCACAACCTGAAAACAAGTGTCCTGCTGAAGTATTACCATCACTCACCACCTGAAAACAAGTGCCCTGCTGAAGTAATACCATCACACACAACCTGAAAACAAGTGTCCTGCTGAAGTAATATCATTGCCCGCAACCTGAAAACAAGTGTCCTGCTGAAGTAATATCATTGCCCGCAACCTGAAAACAAGTGTCCTGCTGAAGTAATACCATCACTCACAACCTGAAAACAAGTGTCCTGCTGAAGTAATACAATCACTCACAACCTGAAAACAAGTGCCCTGCTGAATTTATACCATCACTCACCACCTGAAAAAGTGTCCTGCTGAAGTAATGCCATCACTCACAACCTGAAAACAAGTGTCCTGCTGAAGTAATACCATCACTCACAACCTGAAAACAAGTGTCCTGCTGAAGTAATACCATCACTCGCAACCTGAAAACAAGTGTCCTGCTGAAGTAATACCATCACTCGCAACCTGAAAACAAGTGTCCTGCTGAAGTAATACCATCACTCGCAACCTGAAAACAAGTGTCCTGCTGAAGTAATACCATCACTCACAACCTGAGAACAAGTGTCCTGCTGAAGTAATACCATCACTCGCAACCTGAAAACAAGTGTCCTGCTGAAGTAATACCATCACTCGCAGCCTGAAAACAAGTGTCCTGCTGAAGTAATACCATCACTCACAACCTGAAAACAAGTGCCCTGCTGAAGTATTACCATCACTCACCACCTGAAAACAAGTGCCCTGCTGAAGTAATACCATCACACACAACCTGAAAACAAGTGTCCTGCTGAAGTAATATCATTGCCCGCAACCTGAAAACAAGTGTCCTGCTGAAGTAATATCATTGCCCGCAACCTGAAAACAAGTGTCCTGCTGAAGTAATACCATCACTCACAACCTGAAAACAAGTGTCCTGCTGAAGTAATACAATCACTCACAACCTGAAAACAAGTGCCCTGCTGAATTTATACCATCACTCACCACCTGAAAAAGTGTCCTGCTGAAGTAATGCCATCACTCACAACCTGAAAACAAGTGTCCTGCTGAAGTAATACCATCACTCACAACCTGAAAACAAGTGTCCTGCTGAAGTAATACCATCACTCGCAACCTGAAAACAAGTGTCCTGCTGAAGTAATAACATCACTCACAACCTGAAAACAAGTGTCCTGCTGAAGTAATACCATCACTCACAACCTGAAAACAAGTGTCCTGCTGAAGTAATACCATCACACACAGCCTGAAAACAAGTGTCCTGCTGAAGTAATAACATCACTCACAACCTGAAAACAAGTGTCCTGCTGAAGTAATACCATCACTCACAACCTGAAAACAAGTGTCCTGCTGAAGTTATACCATCACACACAACCTGAAAACAAGTGTCCTGCTGAAGTAATACCATCACTCACAACCTGAAAACAAGTGTCCTGCTGAAGTAATACCATCACTCGCAACCTGAAAACAAGTGTCCTGCTGAAGTAATACCATCACTCGCAACCTGAAAACAAGTGTCCTGCTGAAGTAATACCATCACTCGCAACCTGAAAACAAGTGTCCTGCTGAAGTAATACCATCACTCACAACCTGAGAACAAGTGTCCTGCTGAAGTAATACCATCACTCGCAACCTGAAAACAAGTGTCCTGCTGAAGTAATACCATCACTCGCAGCCTGAAAACAAGTGTCCTGCTGAAGTAATACCATCACTCACAACCTGAAAACAAGTGTCCTGCTGAAGTATTACCATCACTCACCACCTGAAAACAAGTGCCCTGCTGAAGTAATACCATCACACACAACCTGAAAACAAGTGTCCTGCTGAAGTAATATCATTGCCCGCAACCTGAAAACAAGTGTCCTGCTGAAGTAATATCATTGCCCGCAACCTGAAAACAAGTGTCCTGCTGAAGTAATACCATCACTCACAACCTGAAAACAAGTGTCCTGCTGAAGTAATACAATCACTCACAACCTGAAAACAAGTGCCCTGCTGAATTTATACCATCACTCACCACCTGAAAAAGTGTCCTGCTGAAGTAATGCCATCACTCACAACCTGAAAACAAGTGTCCTGCTGAAGTAATACCATCACTCACAACCTGAAAACAAGTGTCCTGCTGAAGTAATACCATCACTCGCAACCTGAAAACAAGTGTCCTGCTGAAGTAATACCATCACTCGCAACCTGAAAACAAGTGTCCTGCTGAAGTAATACCATCACTCGCAACCTGAAAACAAGTGTCCTGCTGAAGTAATACCATCACTCACAACCTGAGAACAAGTGTCCTGCTGAAGTAATACCATCACTCGCAACCTGAAAACAAGTGTCCTGCTGAAGTATTACCATCACACACAACCTGAAAACAAGTGTCCTGCTGAAGTAATACCATCACTCGCAACCTGAAAACAAGTGTCCTGCTGAAGTAATACCATCGCTCACAACCTGAAAACAAGTGTCCTGCTGAAGTAATACCACCACTCACAACCTGAAAACAAGTGTCCTGCTGAAGTAATACCATCACACACAACCTGAAAACAAGTGTCCTGCTGAAGTAATACCATCGCTCACAACCTGAAAACAAGTGTCCTGCGGAAGTAATACCACCACTCACAACCTGAAAACAAGTGTCCTGCTGAAGTAATACCATCACACACAGCCTGAAAACAAGTGTCCTGCTGAAGTAATAACATCACTCACAACCTGAAAACAAGTGTCCTGCTGAAGTAATACCATCACTCACAACCTGAAAACAAGTGTCCTGCTGAAGTAATACCATCACACACAACCTGAAAACAAGTGTCCTGCTGAAGTAATACCATCACACACAGCCTGAAAACAAGTGTCCTGCTGAAGTAATACCATCACTCGCAACCTGAAAACAAGTGTCCTGCTGAAGTAATACCATCACTCGCAGCCCGAAAACAAGTGTCCTGCTGAAGTGATAACATCACTCACAACCTGAAAACAAGTGTCCTGCTGAAGTAATACCATCACTCACAACCTGAAAACAAGTGTCCTGCTGAAGATATACCATCACACACAGCCTGAAAACAAGTGTCCTGCTGAAGTAATACCATCACTCACAACCTGAAAACAAGTGTCCTGCTGAAGTAATACCATCACACACAACCTGAAAACAAGTGTCCTGCTGAAGTAATACCATCACTCGCAACCTGAAAACAAGTGTCCTGCTGAAGTAATACCATCACTCGCAGCCTGAAAACAAGTGTCCTGCTGAAGTAATACCATCACTCACCACCTGAAAACAAGTGCCCTGCTGAAGTAATACCATCACACACAACCTGAAAACAAGTGTCCTGCTGAAGTAATATCATTGCCCGCAACCTGAAAACAAGTGTCCTGCTGAAGTAATACCATCACTCACAACCTGAAAACAAGTGTCCTGCTGAAGTATTACCATCACTCACCACCTGAAAACAAGTGCCCTGCTGAAGTAATACCATCACACACAACCTGAAAACAAGTGTCCTGCTGAAGTAATATCATTGCCCGCAACCTGAAAACAAGTGTCCTGCTGAAGTAATATCATTGCCCGCAACCTGAAAACAAGTGTCCTGCTGAAGTAATACCATCACTCACAACCTGAAAACAAGTGTCCTGTTGAAGTAATACAATCACTCACAACCTGAAAACAAGTGCCCTGCTGAAGTTATACCATCACTCACCACCTGAAAAAAAGTGTCCTGCTGAAGTAATACCATCACTCACAACCTGAAAACAAGTGTCCTGCTGAAGTAACAAGTTTGAGATCTTAAACACTGAGTAAAGCATCACCTAAATCTACTTAAGAAAGATAATTTAGGAAAAATAATTAAATTAAGATTGCTGCTTTAATTTCCACAAGAAAGTTATTGAACTTTTCAGTTTGTCTTTCCAACTTCATAGTTTATCAATATGGGAGACAGTCTTCGAATAGGTTTTAAACCTCCATGTACCATTAAATTCTGTTGTATCAAACTTTTAAAGACACCATGCGGACATTAACAGGCCATATACTTAATGGGGATCTCGTGGGAACCTTTAACCTGTCATTAAGCCAAACATGCCTAATAATATAGGCTAATATGTTGACAAAATAGAAAAAAGCTTTTATTTTGGCGTTGGAACCTCCAAGACATGTAAAGCAGATCACAAAATACCATAAGAAGTGATGTATTTGGCAGTTATGGCTTCCCAAACCTCCGAGTGGAGAGAACAGCTACTACTCATGCCATTTGGCAGATGACAGGAAGGAAAAAGTGCTTGTTTGTTAAAACAGAATTGGGGGAAAATTATGGGGGAATGCCATTATTTAATGCCACTTCAATGTAACTTTTACACTTAAGGTATCATTAGTTAATGACAGCTTGACAGCTTTGTACAACCCATCTTTATGCCATCTTTAACTAATACTAATAAAAATGAATGAAACTTAAGGGTTTAATGAACCAATTAGTTAATGAAAGTGTTATACAACTGATTCCTGGTCAGTCTAGTATATTCCTATATATCAAATCAATTCCTATCTTTCTGACCCGTGAAGATCCGGGGTAGAATATATCTTCAGCAACCCATGCTTGCCGTAAAAGGCGACTATGCTTGTCATAAGAGGCGACTAATGGGATCGGGTGGTCAGACTCGCTGACTTGGTTGATGCATGTCATCGCTCCCAATTGCAAGGATCGATGCTCATGATGTCAATCACTAGATTGTCTGGTCCAGACTAGATTATTTACAGACCGCCGTCATATAGCTGGAGAATTGCTGAGTGCGGCGTAAACCAACCAACCAAATTCTATCTTTCTTATACTTTATCATAACTGGGCTTGTTTTAGATCGCCATAGAACAAATATTTTGTTTGTTGAGTAG